TATTCAAGACTGCTAGAGAGGCCGGGAGCAGTGGCTCATGCCTGTAATCCTAGCACTCTGGGAGGCCAAGGCAGGCGGATTGCTCAAGGTCGGGAGTTCAAAACCAGCCTGAGCAAGAGTGAGACCCCGTCTCTACTATAAATAGAAAGAAATTAATTGCCCAACTAATATATACAAAAAAAATTAGCCGGGCATGGTGGCGCATGCCTGTAGTCCCAGTTACTCGGAAGGCTGAGACAGGAGGAGAATTGGTTGAGCCCAGGAGTTTGAGGTTGCTGTGAGCTAGGCTGATGCCACGGCACTCACTCTAGCCTGGGCAACAAAGCGAGACTGTCTCCAAAAAAAAAAGACTGCTAGAGAATTAAAACCCTGGCCCTAATTTTCCTAATTTCTTTTTAGGATCTTGGGCATTGCTTCTCTCTTTGATATAGTCTTTGGTAGATCCCTAGCAGAATCAGCCCTAGGTAAACCTGTGAAGTAATTGTGCCTCCCTTTTCCATCACTATACCTTGACTAGGCTGGTCTCCCAAGTTATCTGTCCTGTATCTCATCCCTAAATAGGCAAAATAGTCTATGTTCACATCCTAACAGGCAAGGATGAGATGGGATGATCCCCTTCGAGGAATCCTTTGGAGGTAATTTCCCACTCTAACCTATTCCTAAAATTCCAAAGGTGATTAATTGCCATCCAAAAGGGAACATATTGTTTGCAATACTCAACTTATTTCTGGATGCTAGGATATAGCCAACTCAGTCTTCAGGGACTGAGGACAGTGGAACATGCTGCCCCCTAATCTCTGCAGCTTTGGGACAGATTGGAGAAGTAAGTCCCCAGGTGACAGATCTCCTGCTCTGGGCTATCCACTATGAAGCGGCACCAGGCATACGACTGGAAGCTTGCCGTAGCATCCTAGCCCTCAAACTTCAAGGGGACCGGGTCAGGGACACCTTCCTAGATGTGCTGCTCCTGGAGGACCATGATGCTGTTCTAAAGTAAGTACTAAACTTCTGGTTCCTGCCATGACCTCCTGAACTGCCAACTGTCCCATCCTTGCTCACTGAGTATGTCCCTGTCTTTCCAAGCTGCCTAATGGCACTAAAAGCACAGGTTCACCTGTGCCATTCACCTACCTACCCAAGAAAGTAACAGAAAAACTAGCTTAAATTAGATTGAAAGTAAAGCTCATGTAGTTCATGTACCTTTTCTCCCCCACCCCACAACAGGTGGTTTTATGTTTATTCATATATTCAGCTAAAATTTATCAAGCGCCTATTATGCCAATAGACTTTAGAGTCAAAAAGATCATGGTCTGAATTTCAGCTCTGATGTGCAATAGCTATGTGAGCCTGTGCAAGGTACTTACTTAAACATTCACTCTGAGACCAATTTTTTCATGTGTCAAACGCAGGTGACAGTCTACAGTATAAGGTTGTGGAGATAATGAGATGACAGGTTTAATGCCTGTCATAAAGATCCCCAGTAAATGGTACCTATTAGTACCTTCAAATATATCATCTCAAAAACTGTACATCATCCCTATAAGCTAAGCATCAGACCATTTTTGCAGATAAGACTCAGCAAAACCACAGTTAGGATCAGAATTTAGGATTCTTGCTTGATTCCAAGTTCTATGATTTTCTACCTCCATGCTCTTTTATTTATTTATTATTATTATTATTATTAAAGACAGGGTCTCATTCTGTCAACCAGGCTGGAGTGCAGTGGCACTGCAGCCTTGAACTCTTGGGCTCAAGGGATCCTCCTGCCTCAGCTTCTCGAGTAGCTGGGACTACAGGCATGTGCCACCATGCCTGGCTAATTTTGAAATATTTCTGTGGAGAGGAGGTGTTGCTGTGTTGCCCAAGCTGATCTCAAACACCTAGCCTCAAGCAATCCTCCCTGCCTCAGCCACTGAAACTGCTAGGATCACAGGTGTATGCCACCACACCTGGCCCCCCATGCTTTTTTAAAGGACAAGGTAGAACAATCTAAGAAGTCCTTCTTATCCTTCAGGGAAATTTACCAGGCAATGAAGATACTCAACTTAGATAGTGAAGGAAACCAAGAAATGCTTCAGGAGATCAAGAAAAAGGTAAATAAGTGCAACCTGTTTTTCAAGAGAAAATGTGGGGCTCTCAAGAGTTCCTCAGACCCTTTTTTCCTCCAAGCATGTACATACCCTCTTCCCCACCACAGAAATACTTTCTACAAACTCAGATACCATATCATTTGAAGATATAAAACATCTGTGCAAGAATAGGTGATAAAATCCTATTAGTAAAGATAAAAACAAAACGAAATCCTATTAGTCCTATCAAGTAGCCTTCAAAATCAAGGTTTATTCTTGTGGTTTCTGAAATAGTATTTCCCTATTTTCTCTCCACCATCTCCTAAACTCAGCTAGTTCTTTCTTATTTGCAGATAGGCATAGAAAAGGAATAAGGGACTGGAGGCCGGACGTGGTGGCTCTCGCCTGTAATCCTAGCACTCTGAGAGGCCGAGGCGGGCAGATTGCTCAAGGTCAGGAGTTCGAAACCAGCCTGAGCAAGACCCTGTCTCTACTAAATATAGAAAGAAATTAATTGGCCAACTAAAAATATATATACAAAAAAATTAGCAGGGCATGGTGGCACATGCCTGTAGTCTCAGCTACTTGGGAGGCTGAGGCAGGAGGATCGCTTGAACCCAGGAGATTGAGGTTGCTGTGAGCTAGGCTGATGCCATGGCACTCACTCTAGCCTGGGCAACAAAGTGAGACTCTGTCTCAAAAAATAAATAAATAAATAAATAAGGGACTGGAGCTGGCCCCCTAGATTGTTTTCTTAAATTTCCTTAATTCCAAATCCAGGTTCTTGGTCAGGCGCGGTGGCTCACGCCAGTAATCCTAGCACTCTGGGAGGCCAAGGCGGGCGGATTGCTCGAGGTCAGGAGTTCGAAACTACCCTGAGCAAGAGCAAGACCCCCGTCTCTACTAAAAATAGAAACAAATTAACTAATTAAATAGAAAAAATAGAAACAAATATATAGAAAAAATTAGCTGGGTATGGTGGCGCATGCCTGTAATACCAGCTACTTGGGAGGCTGAGGTAGGATTGCCTAAGCCCAGGAGGTTGAGGTTGCTGTGAGCTTGGCTGACGCCATGGCACTCTAGCCCAGACAACAGAGTGAGACTCTGTCTCAAAAAAAAAAAAAAAATTGAAATCCAGGTTCTTTACCAAAGGAACTCTCCGGCTGAAAGGGTTGTTCTAATTTTTCAAAGCTATTAGATGAAAGAATAGAGAGAAAAGGACTTTAAAAAGGTAATTCATGAAACCAACTTCATATTAAGCAAGCATTTCTTAGCAGGTTCCTTTCATCATGCCCAAAAAACTAAGGTAAAATTTTCATTAACAGTGTAAAAACTTGCCAACCAATATCACAAGAGAACAATGTTCTTAGGCATTTCTGTACCACCTAATACTAATAAGCATGATGCAATCAGTTACTTTATTAATGCTTTTTGATTTGCTGCCTAATACAGCTGTTTAGTTTTGTTTATTTCAGCATATTATGGTAGTACAGTTGTTTTTTTAAGATCATTTGCTCTAATCTAGATTAACACATTAAGCCAAAAGGACTTGCTGACACAGAAAATATTAAAGCTTGAGAAGGTCATGGGAAATGTGAAGGAGGAAGCAAAACGTGTTTACTTGCAACCAAAAGAAGATCAAGAACCACTGGCACTCCAAACTTTACTCCAAGCAACTTTTCAGGGTAGGTTTCCTAGGGGTGAGTCCTATCCCTTGACTCCTTTAATAAACCTTTTCCAGGATTTGGATGTTTTGGGACTTAGTAATGAGCCCTGTAGGATGAAAGAGTCAGGAAAGGCTACTTTCCTTTCTTTCTTGACCATCATCCACTCAGTTTTTGTTTTTTTCCCCCCATCTCCCAGGTTTTTATGCATTAGCTGTTTTATCCCTTAAAAAAAGAATGAGGTAGGGCCAGGCCCGGTGGCTCACGCCTGTAATCCTAGCACTCTGGGAGGCTGAGGCGGGCAGATTGCTCAAGGTCAGGAGTTTGAAACCAGCCTGAGCAAGAGTGAGACCCCGTCTCTACTATAAATAGAAAGAAATTAATTGGCCAACTAACATATATATAGAAAAACTTAGCCAGGCATGGTGGCGCATGCCTATACTCCCAGCTACTTGGGAGGCTGAGGCAGCAGGATTGCTTGAGCCCAGGAGTTTGAGGTTGCTGTGAGCTACGCTGATGCCACAGCACTCACTCTAGCCTGGGCAACAAAGCGAGACTGTCTCAAAAAAAAAAAAAAAAAAGAATGAGGTATATCTGTTTGAACTGATTTAGAAGTTAGGTCATAAAAAGACATATTAGAAAAACATGAGTCTTTTTTTCTTTTTTTTTGAGACAGAGTCTCACTCTGCCTGGATTAGACTGCCATGGCATCACCCTAGCTCACAGCAACCTCAACCTCCTGGGCTCGAGCAATCCTACTGCCTCAGCCTCTTGAGTAGCTGGGACTACAGGCATGCACCACCATGCCTGGCTAATTTTTTCTATATATTTTTAGTTGGCCAATTCGTTTCTTTCTATTTGTAGTAGAAGCAGGGTCTTGCTCTTGCTCAGGCTGGTTTCAAACTCCCGCTCTTGAGCAATCCTCCTGCCTCAGCCTCCCAGAGTGCTAGGATTACAGGCGTGAGCCACCACGTGCCTGGCCAAAAACATGAGTCTTTATAAAACAAGAGTTGTGTATGTTTAAGCACCCAAAAAAAAAAAAAAAGCCTTATAAGTTTAACCTTTAATAGTGGTTGCCTCTGGAAAATGGGGTTGGAGAGAGCTATCATTTTTACATAGATGTACATCTATGCTTTTGTAACTTTTTAAAAAAGACTATAAAGTTCTCAACCTTAAATAACTGAATCTATCAGTTATGGTGACAGGATCCCAGACATGACTTAAATGTTGAGGGTGCAGAAATCAAGCTATACCAAAACATACTTACAAAATCTGTGTACCCAATCGTAGCAGCAGCCTCAGGTCACTCAGCCAGCTGCCTACCAGCTACCACCCCAAACCCAGGTCTTCTGGCTCCAAGTCCAGTGCTCTTTCTGGTACAACAGGCACTTTTCCAGCAACCATCAGAATATTCACTTGCCAGATTTGGGGAAGTTTCTTCCAACTGCCAGAAAAAAATGAAAGTGGAAAGTAACTTGAACACCAGCCTTTCCTCATGGCCAGCTTGCTAAAAGTTGGTTTGCTAAGGCCTATAACAGCACAACTAAGGTGACATGCTTCGCCTCTGGAAGCATTGCCAGTCACTGATAAAGCAAGCACTGAGCAAAAACAATATAAAGCTGACCTTGCTAGTGGAAAATAACTTTTCTACTAGGATTGGGCTGTTTGGGGTTCAAGTAGCATAATTAAAATGAATAAATTACCCCCAAAGTTAGAGAACTGGCCCCAATCAGATGAGTTTCTCTTCTTTAAATGGTTAACTTCCATTTACATTCTACAACCAAGTTGCTTTTCATTTCAGGCATTATAGCTTTTCCCTATCTACCACCCGCTCCCATATTTCTTCAAACCATCCCACATAATACTCTAGCCTTAGAAAAGGGAAACAGTCTTTGGCACTTTAATAACTTTTCTAGCGTCCATACAAAATTAATAACAAACAGGACATTGATTCCAACCCTCCCCACAAACTGGTGAAAGAACTCAAATGAAAGATGCAAATTCCAAATAAAAACTTCTAAGTCTCAAGCAGAATGACGTGGCCAGTGCTACACAGTACACTGAAGCCTAAGGATGATGAAGCTGATGCTCTGAAATGATCAGGGATCAAGGTTACTTTTCCACCTCCAATGTCTGCTTTTACGTTTGTACCTAGATGAGGTGGTTCTTTCTAGAAGACCGTCTGAGGTTTGTGACATTGAAGAAGCCATAAAGGTAAATGTGAGCACACTGATGATTATCAAGGTAAGAACATGAATTTAAAAAAAGATAGTGGCAGTGGTAGGAGAGAATCACTACTGCCTTGTTTCCAGCAATTCACAAGAAAGTAGTTTAGGTTAGAGGCATCTTGGTTAGCAGCAGCCCTTTATCATATAACATGGTTGCCAAGGAAAGTTGGTCCTCCACACTGTCACAGGGCAGGTCCCCTACTCTTACAAACTCTGGGTAGGAGCGAAGCAAGAGTTCCATGGCATCAGCTTGCTGGGGGTATATTTCCAAGCACTTGGGCTCTTCCAGATGATAAACACGGGAGTTTTCCACTGTGTAATAGAGAAACAAATGGCCTCCCTCACCCACCAGACGAGCTATCCCATCCTGAAGCATGTGGACTTCTGTTTCTGTTGTCAACTGGGCCCCCACATTTACGGGTTCTCCAACCTCCCAGCGAATTGGGAGCCCGTAAACACTTAGTGCCCTCTCCCTATCAGTCAAAACAGGGGGCAGAGAATCATGGATGAAGTCTTTGGCTCGCTGGTCAGCCACAGCATCCACAGGAGCAAAGTGTCCCAGCCGGGCAACCAAGACCCGGACCTTCTCCATAAAAGCGGTTCTTCGCGGATCCTTAGAATCAGAATGCTGGGCCCCCATGTAATCCATAAAGTCTCGGGGAAGACCCCTCCGAAACTCCACATTTTCTTCCATTGCAGCCTGCACAGCTAGAGGCAGTACAGCCTCTAGGAAGTCACCCCAGGTATTGCGCTGGTAAGTGGACAAGGTGAGGTGCAAAGAGTGGACTCCATCCTGGCATTCAGCTTGGTGAATGAAGCCCCGAGGAAAATAGAGCAAATCTCCAGGTTCTAGCACGGTCTGCAGCACTGGCTCACCGAGGTCGTCCTGACTGAAGTTGGGGCTAGATGTCAGGGCCAGTTCCTCAGTTGGAACCCGGGGTCGGTAGACACGCCAGAGTTTCCTACCTTCCAGCTGCAGCACAAAAGCTTCGATGTCGTCGTAGTGGGGGGCAAAGCCCTGCGAATTGGGGGGCGTGAGGTAAACGTTGGAGCCTGCCATGCTTCCAAACTGCTCTTGGAGCACAGCCAAAAACTGCCACACTGTGGTCGAGAAAGCCTGCGGACAGAGGAGGCGCAGGGAGCAGCCAGCCTGGTAGAGGGACCACGCAGCAGCCGGCAGTGCGCGACCCGGCGGGTTCAGGGTCTCGCGCCGTCCGTTGACGTAGCGCGCGGCGTCCAAATGCTGCCCGAACTGCACCTCCTCGTTGCGCAGCATCGAGTCCAGGTCGGAGGTAGAGAAAAGGCCCTGGTAGTAGGTGCGATCCTGCCGCCGCACCAGCACCGCCTCCCGCTCCCATAGGCGCCGGTAGAAATGATCCGGCGGCATCGGAGCGATGAGCCACTCAAAGAGGCGTGCCGCGCGCCGCCGGCTGCTGGGGATGCGGTTCAGCTCCGCCAAGACGCGCTGCAGGGGGTTGTCGCAGGACAGCTCCCCACCCGTGCTATCCACCTCCGGCCCCGACAGCGTCGCAGGGGCTCCGGAATGTGGGGCGGCCGCCAAGTGCTGGGCTGTGCACAGCAAAGCCGAGTTCTCCACCACGCGGGCCGCCGCAGCGGGCACCTCCACCAGGCGCACCGGCGGCGCCGAAGCAGGCACCAGGCGCGCCGGCGGGGTCTGCAGGGAGCGCGTGGCAGGCGCTGCCTCCAGCAGCTCTGCAGGCCCCAGGTGGCCGTAAGGCTCTCGCCGGGCCGCGTCCGGGATGGCGGCCACCGCCGCTGTCCCGCCAGGCAGGGAGTCCCCCGGATCGTCGGCCGTGGACTCCACCCTCGAGTCCTCCGAGTCTTCGCTCGGCAGCGTCCGGGCCCTCAGCGCTGCCATGCGGGACGCAACACTTCTTCTCAGCTGCCTCCGTATCTTCCTGGGCCTCGAGGCTAGGGCCAGGACCGACCCGCTGTGTGGCTGGGGCTGGCGTCGGCGCCTCGGCCGCCCGCGCCTCAACAGCCCTGCGCTAGCTCGGAGCCCATCCATGGCGGGTCTGTACTCCGAGCCCGGCCGGGGCCGACTAGGAAGGCACTCACGCTGGCAGCGGCTGCGGTGCACTGTGGGAAGGGGGCGCGGCCTCCAGCCGCTCCGGGATGACCACGCCCACCATTCTTCCACTCGGCTCCTCCCGCTCGTGTTAGCAAAGGTTGTCTTCGTTAAATGCCCGAGTTCACGCCAGGGCGGAGAAACCCGGCCAAACTAACAAGGGTTCCGTATTCTGAGGCAGTTTAAAAATCAGGTGGTAGGGACTTAAGGAGAACGATATGTGGCTACTTAACTCTTTTTTCCTGCTATGTTAGTCTGCATATTGCAGTGTTCCTCGACGTCCTCACTTCTGAACAGGATGCTCCTCAGCAGCTTCCCACGGGAAACTGCACAGTTCTTGTTTTCAGGGAATGCCCTCAGGCAAAGTTCGGGATTCGGAATGCCTCGGGCAAAGTTTGAGATTCTACGGAAAATCGCCGTTCCATTATGTTCTGCGCAATGCAGATGATTCACTGATTGAAGCCCTAAGAGTTTCTCTCTCGCCTTTCTCCATTAGAAATCCTCGCAGTCATTGTCCAGACGTAATTAACTTCTTTACTTGCATTCTTGATATTTGACCTTCCCAACCTGCTGAGCCATTGTGTTTCTTTAGCTACAATTTCCCTCTTCTACTTCCTCTGAATCGTAAATCTCTTGATCTCTCATTTAACAGGCAGTGTGGTAGGCATGAAGGTGTAATTGTTGAGAACATGGTCACTGTCTTCATGCAACTAGGTGCTTTGTGCATAAAGATTACTTGTTGAGGCAGAAGGATCGCTTCAGCCCAGGAGTTTGAGGTGCTGGGTTAAAGGGCAGGATACTTTTTGTGATTATTAAAGGGTTTTTATCAAACTGCCCTCCAAAAAGGTTTATAGCGTTACAATTATTAACATAAGCAAAACAACAACAACAACAAAAGAACATAAGCATATTAGACTGCAGTGCATGGCCTCTAGGACCTTTTCTGTGCTTCTATTTGAGCTTCTCTTTAATGCCACCTCTTTCTTAGTTGCGCTGCTATCCAAACACTTGCCAAAGCTTTTAGATTTTATCTCTACCCATCTTTGATATGCACTCTTTCTTTTTATTTCTCACATGGTCTATCACATTGTTCTCAACTGGGGGTAATTTCACCTTCCCAGGGACATTTGGCTATGTTATATGAGGGTGGTTGCTGCTAAACACCCCACAATGCAAAGGACAACCCTCCACAACAAGTAGTTTTCCTACCCAAAATGTCAACAGTGTAGTACTGAGGCTGAGAAACCCTGGTCTAGTACAAATAACCTCCCAACTAGTCTCTTTACCTTTAATCTCTCCCATCGCAATTTATACCACAGATAGCTTAATTTTCTCAAGCTGTGGCCCCAAACGTGTCCTATCCCTACTCAGAACCTATCCATGTGTCCCACTGACCAATCCAAGCTCCTTAGCTAGGTACTGAAGTCACACAATGTTACAGCCTTATCAGCTGCAACTCCCCTAAACTACTTCTACAAGCTAGACTGTTCACTGTTCCTCGCCTATGTCATCCATATGTTTTCTCATGCTGTTCCCTCTAAATGATGTCTCCCAATCATCTTTTGTCAAATCCTAATTAAAGCCTATTTCACATTCATTCAAAGGCTCTACCATCTATCTCTCTAATCACAAGAGAACATTGACCCTTTCACATGAATTTAACACATTGTGGAACCAGTGTGTTGGCGTGAGCTCCAGCTACTTGGGATGGTGAATTGAAAGATCACTTGAAGCCAGCCTGGACAATAAAGTGAGATTCTGTCTCTAAAAACAAACAAACAAACAAACAAAAACACCCATTGTACCTTGTATTGGTAATTTATGTATTTGTATTCCTCCCTAAACTTCAGGGAAAGGATTTCCTTATGCCTTTTTCTACCCTCGCTTCCATTTAGCACAATGCTTTTCACACAGAAGGTGCACAGAAAATGTTTGTGGAAAGCAGACCAGCCAGAATTGATGCTCTCCCACTCATTATTTGTGACATTAGCTCAGACAAGTTACTCTCTCAGGTAACAGTTATCACATCTTTAAAATGGATTTAATAATTGAACCCACTTCTTTATAGGGTTGTTGTAAGGATAAAATAATGCATGTAAGGCACTTCGCACAGGGCGTGGTACAGAGCTAAACACTTCAAAATGGTAGCTGTAATAATAATTTATTATTATGGGGCAAAGCCCTATAGAATGGCTTGCATCGGTGGGCGCGATGGCTCACACCTGTAATCCCAGCACTCTGGGAGGCTGAGGTGGGAGGATCGCTCGAGATCAGGAGTTCGAGACCAGCCTGAGAAAGAGCGAGACGCTGTCTCCACTAAAAATAGAAAGAAATTAATTGGCCAACTAAAAATATATAGAAAAAATTAGCTGGGCATGGTGGCACATGCCTGTAGTTCCAGCTACTCGGGAGGCTGAGGCAGAAGGATCGCTTGAGCCCAGGACTTGGAGGTTGCTGTGAGCTAGGTTGACTCCACGGCACTCTTGCCCGGGCAACAGAGTGAGACTCTGTTTCAAAAAAAAAAAAAGAAAAGAAAAGAATAGCTTGCGTGCCACTGGCCTAGTTGGGAGGAATGGGTATGTGTGTGTTTGGCAGTGGGGAAGGCACAAAGAAGTTCTTGAATTGGGCAAGGTGGCAGTAGAGGATAGAGAGTTTACAATTATTTTTGCATATGTCCAAAGGAAGGTTAAGCAGATCAGTGGGGGCCATATCAGACCAGGCCATTGTGTGAGGTACTGCTCTGCACAAAGGTACCAAGGGCCAGAGTAGGGGCCTAAACCAATCAGTGTTCTCCTTGCAAGTCCTGTGCACTAGTACAGGTATTTATTTGGAGGAAGGAGCAGCAGGAGGGGGTCACCCTCTTGCCAGTTCATACAAAGCCTATATGTGCTGGCAAGGCCCTGATAGCAGATCCCCTGGGGAATTGTTGAAGAAGAAGACAGGTAACATTTGTTACTGGGAGCTTTAATTGCCCTTTCAAAAGAGAGCTGTTTTCAGTAGACAAAGGACACATCCTGCTGTGACCTGGAGGAACCATGTTTCTCTGCCTGCAAAGCTGTGCTCAGTTACAAGGGTGCCATCATTTGTAGTTTCCACATCCTATACCAGCAGTTCCCAACATTTTTGGCACAAGGGACTGGTTTCATGGAAGACAATTTTTCCACTGTCTGAGCCAGGGTGTAGGGGGGATGGTTTCAGGATGATTCAAGTACATTATATTTATTGTGTACTTTATTTCTATTATTATTACATTGTCACTTACAAACTCACTGATAGGGTTTTTTTTTTTTTTTTTTTTTTTTTTTTTGAGACAGAGTCTCACTTTGTTGTCCAGGCTAGAGTGAGTGCCGTGGCGTCAGCCTACCTCACAGCAACTCAAACTCCTGGGCTTGAGTGATCCTTCTGCCTCAGCCTCACCGAGTAGCTGGGACTACAGGCATGCGCCACCATGCCCGGCTAATTTTTTTTTATATATTATATCAGTTGCCAATTAATTTCTTTCTATTTATAGTAGAGACGGGGTCTCTCGCTCTTGCTCAGGCTGGTTTGAACTCCTGCTGAGCTATATACCGCTCCGCCTCCGGCCTCCCAAAGCTAGGTTAGCAGGCGTGAGCACAGCGCCGGCCCACTGATAGGGTTTTGATAAGAGTCTTCAAGCCATTGATTTATTATGGTCTCTCTGCAGTCAGACCTCTCTGCTAATGATAATCTGTATTTGCAGCTGCTCCCTAGTGCTAGTTTCACTGCCCCACCTCAGATCATCAGGCATTAGATTCTCTCTTTTTTTTTCCTTTTTTTTTTTTTCAGTGTCTCACTCTGTTGCCCGGGCTAGAGTGCCGTGGTGTCAGCCTAGCTCACAGCAACCTCAAACTCCTGGGCTCAAGCAATCCTTCTGCCTCAGCCTCCCAAGTAGCTGGGACTACAGGCATGCGCCACCATGCCCGGCTAATTTTTTCTATATATTTTTAGTTGGCCAATTAATTTCTTTCTATTTATAGTAGAGACGGGGTCTTGATCTTGCTGAGGCTCGTTTCGAACTCCTGACCTCGAGCAATCCACCCGCCTCGGCCTCCCAGAGTGCTAGGATTACAGGCGTGAGCCACCACGCCTGGCCATCAGACATTAGATTCTCATAAGGAACACACAACCTAGCTCCCTTGCATATGCAGTTTATAGTAAGGTTCATGCTTCTATGAGAATCTCATGCCATTGCTGATCTGATAGGAGACGGAGCTCAGGCAATGATGCCAGTGATGAGGAGCAGGTGTAAATACAGATGAAGCTTTGCTTACCCGCTGCTCACCTCTTGCTGTGCAGCCCAGTTCTAACAGGCCATGAACTGGTTTCAGTCTGGCCAAGAGTTGGGACCACAATCCTATACAGTTCTCCCCCAATCTTTCCATGTGACCTCATCCTTCTTTTTTCAGCATCTTGTGATTTCCTCAAATCAAGAGTCCTGTTGAAATATCTGTCTTCTAGTTTCCCCTGTGACTGGGTGGTGCCTTTTGGAACCTGACTTATCTTTAATTTCATCAGTTTTAGTGTGGCTTATTTAGTTTTCCCTACAAAAGCAGCTATTATAATTATTTTCACATGGATAAACCTCATGACATGGAATAATGTTTTTGATATATTGTTGAGTGGGGAAAATAAGCAGACAAAATAAGTATTAAAGTAGGATTATTCGGGAATATGTTGTGTGTGTCAGCGTGTATGTATATTATCTACCTATCCATAACACATTCATACATACTACTGAAAAAAGTTAAGAATCCTTACACTACAACATCTAATAGTGATCTTTACTGGTGGAATTTCCAGGCGATTCTCCTCTTTGCTTATTTGTATTTTCTGAATTTTATACATTGAACATATGTTACTTATACAGTTAAATACAGTTTGTTTTTGTTTTTGAGACAGGGCTCACTCTGTCACGCGAGTGCGGAGTGCCACAGCTCACTGAAACCTTCAACCTTAAATTCAAGTGCTCTTCCTGCCTCAGCCTCCCTGAGTAGCTGCATATTTGGGCGTGGGAACAGGATCTCACTTGTTGCCCAGGCTGGTCTCAAACTCCTGTGCTCAACCAGCCTGGGCAACAAGTGAGACCTCATCTCTACAAAAAAATTAAAATTAGCTGGATGTGGTGGTACATGCCTATAGTCCCAGTTACTTAGGAAACTAAGCCAGGAAGATTTCTTGAGCCTAGGAGCTGGAGGTTGCAGTCAGCTATGATCCACCATTCGCACTCCCAGTATGGGCAACATAGCAATATGATACGTCGCTCACAAACACAAACAAAAACAAAAACAACAACACACACGACCACACACATATATATTATAGTATATATATATATAATTCACCCATAGCCAGGCACAGTGCTGGTGTCTGTAATGCAAGCTACTGGGGAGGCTGAGGCAAGAGGATCACTTGGCTCAGGAGTTTGAGACCAGCCTGGGCCACATAGCATGACCCTGTACCTAAGAAAAATGGAAAAACTTTAGCCAGTCAGTGGTGTGTATGTGCCTATAGTCCCAGACTCCAGCTGAGCAGGAGGCACTTGAGCCCTAGTCGCAAAGCTGCAGTGAGCTATGATTGAACCACTGCCCTCCAACTTGGCTACAGAGTGAGAACCTGTTC